CTCTTACCCTTTAAGATAGCATGAAAGGACTTGAGAGTATTAGGCTAAGCAAAATTAACCAACCAGAGAAAGACAAGTATCACATGACCTCACTTACATGTTGCATTCAATGAATAAAATAAATTGATGAATAAAATAGATCCAGAGAAACATGGAAGCATGCATCAGACTAAGGAATCTCAGAGGGAACGTAAGATGAGAAAAACAATACTACTACCTCAGAAGGATCATGTTATGTACTATCTTTTAAAATCGGGGGGGGGGGGGGGGGGGGAAATGTAGCTGCCCATGCAACAACAGCAAGATGCTTTTCACTGGCATTAAAAGTATGGTCACTGGTGCGTGCAGCGTCCCAGATTGTGAGAGGGATGTCCAACTGTCGGTTTAGGCCTGACATCCCCCAAGGGGCCCAAGGGGTCCTGGATTGCAAAAGGATGCAGGCTAGGCTGAGGGACTCTTCCCCTGTACCCCATCGTGCATAAATTTTGTGTACCGGGTCTCTAGTTTAATAATAAAAAGAAATGAAGTACTGATACATGCTATAACATTCAGTGTTTCCCAAAGTGTGGTACGTGTAGAGTTTGGTGGAGGTACCTGTTGCACCGGAGTTTGGTGGGGATATGCACCGCACCGTGCTTAGCTGCGCCTAATTCTACGTTCTCATGAGTACGAGGGGTACTCAGCGTTACGAAAATTATAGAAGGGGTACACATATGCCAAAAGTTTGGGAAACACTAATGAAAACATTATGCTAAATGAAAAACAACAAAAGCATATTTTATATGATTTCATTTATATGAAATGTCTCGAAGAAGCAAATCTAAAGAGACAGGGAGTGGATTAATAGTGGCTTAGGCTTGAGAGTATGGGGGAAATGAGGAGTGACTATTAATGGTAACGGGTTTTCTGCGTGGAGTGATAAAAATGTTCTAAAATTGAGTGTGGTGATGGTTGCACAACTCTGTAAATAAATAAAAACCACTAAATTATACACTTTAGGTAAACTAAAGTTTCATAAATTTTATAAATAAATTTTATTTCAGTAAAACTGTTAGAAAATGGTATCTGTCATCTCAGAATGGTAAATACTAGTAAATTATTTATTTATATATATATATATATATATTTGTAATTTCCAAATTTTTGGCAATAACTAGGTATTATTTTCACATAGCTAAGAAAAAAATTAATTATTTTTCAAAGTGCTTCTTGTGAAAACTAGAGTGATATTACATTATTAAGTTCTGATGGAGTTGCCACTTGTATTCATTTAGTTATTCATTCATTACACACCTTGAGGAATTGTTTTAGCAGAAGAAAAGTTCTAACTCCAAGTCAACAAATTACAACAACTTAACAGATAAGACTCTTCTGTTAACTTCAAAAGATAAATTATATATCACACCACCAATGACTTCGCTGGTGTGATGACTTGGGGAGAGTAAAGAGAGAAGTAGAAATAAGGAATGGTCTTAATTTTGCAGCAAAGATTATATTCATTTATTTTATATCAAAACATTTCAAAATTCTTCATTAAAATGGTTTTCAAATTTTAAAACTCATTTTTTATATTAAAAATAAAATCACTGCAATACTTTAATAGCAGAAAAGGTATACCAAAAATTCAATCAGCAACAAGGGGAAATACCTCAAAAACACTGGGAATCATTTCTTTAAAATACTTCTGGCTGTCAGGTCAATCATTAAAACAATCTTTATATAAACTGCTAGCAAAAAAAACAAAACAAAAATTAAAGCAAGGCAAGTTAAAGGAATTCCTTGGAAATAGTTTGCATTGAAGCTGAAAAGAACATATGGAGGATGAGTTATTTCAATAACATTTAGGTAATACTAGCTGAAAATTAAACACTCTATCATAATCTCCAAGGATAGTAACTTCAGAAGGTTTCTAGGAAGTTGTCTCATCTAAATTGTTTTGTAGAAGAGAAAACAAGGCATCTATATTTTGAAAAACTGCACTGGCTATACTGATGTGCATCCAAAGTTAATGATCACTGTATAAATCAATACTCCTCGAAGGAAATAAGAGAATGAAAAATCTGTTTTGTTTTAAAAATTATAAATAATGCAGCAAACACATTAGAGTGAGAAAAACTTGAGAGCAAGGAGAGTACATACTTGAACTGGGAAAGCAGAAAGTACAATGGAGAGAAGGGGCTGGAGTCAAGAGCCAACTCATAAAGCAGAATCTATAGGACCAAATAACCACGTAGTTGTGGAGAATGAAGAAGAAATAAAAGGCAAAAATGACTGTAAGAAAGCCAGTTTAAAAAACCAGATGGCTAGTGATGCCATTAACCAATAAATGGAAGGAAAAAGAAATAAAAGAAGCTGTTTTGAAAGTTAGAGTTACTAGAAAAAAGGTTCAAGGAGATTAAAGGTTTTTTGTAATGTTTTACTACTTAAGTTGGATAGTAAATACATGGATGTTGACTTTATTATCCTTTTTAACTGAACATACAAATAACATACAAAATTCAACTAGAAACAAAGGGTCAAAAACTCACTAGGGATCACTGCTTTTATACACCTTTGTATCTAAGATATAGGTAATAATTTCTATTTTTTATTATTATTATTTTTTAAAATATATTTTATTGATTTTTTACAGAGAGAAAGAGAGAGGGATAGAGAGCTAGAAACATCGATGAGAGAGAATCATCGATCAGCTGCCTCTTGCACATCCCCTAAAGGGGATGTGCCCGCAACCAACGTACATGCCCTTGACCGGAATCGAACCTGGGACCTTTCAGTCCGCAGGCTGACGCTCTATCCACTGAGCCAAACTGGTTTCGGCTAGGTAATAATTTTTAAAAAGGGAAACAAAAAAAAGGAAGGTGGAGGTAAGGAATTTGGTTTTAGACCTAAATTATTTGCAGAACTGAAGAACTATATCACTCAGAGATAGAAACTAGAGAAAAATATTTGGAAATGGTTAGCATACAAAAATAATGCCACGGACACCATGGATATAGATGAGAACTCTCCAGGAGAATTTGTAGAAGACTGTTTGGCTTATGTCCATAGCGAAGGGCCAACGAAAAGGAGTCAATTGAGACTGAGAATAATCAAAGGGATCGAAGCTTTTACTAATTCCATTTCCCAAAAGCATACAGAAAGATATTAATTTAAAAAATAAAGAAGTTACTCTTTATGGATATCTTACTTAGTGGCAGGCAGGTCCAGAATTTCCAGATAGCTGGAGTTAGAGAAGTAATCTGTGGGGAGGAGGGCTTAAAGATGCTTTTGCATAGTACTACATTAAGTCAGAAAATGCTAATTGTCCGTATCAAAAAATCAAGGGAAAGAGGTTTCAGGGAAGTATTTCCCCTCCCCTTTAGGACCACCATTGCTATACTGTACGCCCGGCACCAAATCTTTCAATCCTCCTATCTTTTTTTCTCCCTTCATTTTAATCAACAGACTTTACTTTCAGAGCAGTTTTAGACTCGTAGCAAAATTGAGCAGAAAGTACATAGAGTTTCTATATAACCCCTTGACCCCCATATATGTATAACCTCCTCCAGTATCAACATCCTCTTAATAAGCTTAGTAGGTAATGAGGAAACTGAGGCTAGATGGAATTGCTTAATCAGGATCACAAATCGCTGTACCTCTCACCTGTATTCCCACGGCTGTCCTGGCTCCTATATGTTTCTAGAGTTTCTCATTACTCATCTAGACACAGAATATTTTTACATGCTTCTCTTTTATTGTATTGTTAGCTCTTCAATGATAAGAGTTCGTGTCATTCATCTCTGTATCCCTATAGCTAATCATGGGTAAATATTTTGTTGGATTGAGCACATGAAAAAAAAGTGGGTGAGAACAGCATCAAGAAAGCCAACAGGAGAAGTAGTTTTAAGAAATGGATGGGTAATAGTGTTATGCGCTACGGAGAGCCATCAGCACACCGTAAGTCGTCGCTGACATTGAACTGATATCCCTTATTCACGTACTGTCCGCCTGCTACGTGTAAAGCACAATGAACACGAAAATATAAAATCTGGGACACGTCGAAAGACTGTCGGGGAAGCAGTCATCAACTACATTCTTCATAAGGAGAGCAAATCAAAGATTCAGGCCTGCAATTGCCTACACCTGTTATTCGGCTCGAGTAAACCTGAAGTCCGCTTAAAAGGGTCTCAGCTTATCTTTTCATAAAACTTCTGATGGGCGGGATGCGGCGAAAAGGGGCCAAAGCCCCGCGGCATGGGTGATGACAGCAGGTGGCCAAGGCCAGCGGGCTCGCCCGGAGCCTCTCGCCCCCTAAGCGGGGTGCGGGCCGCCGCCAGCTGCCAGTCTGGGGCGGGAAAACACACACACTTACCTCAAAAGGCACCTCCACGGCCGTGGCCCGAAGGGGCCGGGAACGCCTTCGCGAGGCCCCACGCCGCGGGGTTAATCGGAAGGAAGCCGGGACCAGACGGGGAGGTACGACGCCACACACCGACTTTCCAAACTCTCTAAACGAGGAGTCCCGGAGCCCGGCGCCGCGACGCCAACTCCCACCAGCTGGAAGCCCGACGACTGCCACCGAACCTTCCGCCCAATGAGGAAACGTCACCACTCGGGGGAGTCCAGCCTTTCTAGGGGAGGACGCACTTCCGCTTCCGGGGCACCCGCGGCGTTCCTTCACTGCGTGGACACGGTACCTGGGGATATTCCTTTACTCCCACGGACTTGACACGCTCGCTTCTCTATCGCTCAACACCTTCGGCAGCAAAGCTATTGAAAGAGGAGGCGACCTCAGGAAAGAAGTCCGGCCTCGAGGAGCCGCCTTAAGGGAAAGTGACTAAGCTGAGCAATACTTAAAGGGAACGGTGAGAGCGGAGGGTGCGCTCAAGTATAGGAATTCCTCGCGCCCCGGAGAACTGCAACAAGGGGGCGGGGCTTAGGGCGACGTAACAGTGGCGGCTGCCGGTCTCTGCGTGCGCGTGCGCGGTGCGCGGCTTCCCAGCGTGGTGTTCTGCTGCAACATGGAGTTCAGCTCCGCGCGGCAGGCGATACTGCAACTACTCCGAACCGTGGCTCCGGCAGACCTCCCAGCTCTGCTCGAGTGGATGCGAACTTCCCGTAAGCAGTCAGAACCAGAGGCAGGCGGTTGGGCCAAGGATATGTATGCTATGGGGACTGACTTTGGGGATTCAGGGTGAGGCCAGAAGCCACTCATGGGGGATCTCTACTCTGCTAGAAGGGTCTGGTGAAAGAGGACACGTCTCAAATCTTGGCAGGTCGAGAGTCCAGTCTGGGATCAGGTGCACGACGATGAAGGGCTGACTCTGGATGGTTTGTGATTGCGCTGCAGACTTCGGACAAGCCGCTAGAGACTCCTGGTGCCTAATCCTTTTCCTGAAGGAGAAAAGAGGAGGCGGGTGGCCTCACCCCTTCCCCTCATTGCTCCCACAAACTTGTGACAACCAGTAGCGTGCTACCTGAAAAAGCACTTTGTAAGGGAAGTTTTAGGCTGTAGAGCTGAAAGTTTCACCCTGCAGGCAGAATCCACCTGTAGTTAGTGAATTTATTTTTTCAATTGTAATATGGACCATTGATGAAATAACATATTTTTATGGTGGGGGGAGAGAAATGGGAAAAAGACTGATTTTAAACTTTTAACAAAACTAGTAACAGTAATATCAAAAAGCACAAGTTAGCGCTCCCCCTCTCCGAGCACGTGGTGCCTTTCCCTTCCTTCCCACCTCACCCTCCTCTTCCTCTCCCCTGGCTCCTTACCTTAAGCTTCTCACTCCCAAGCTCCAGGGACTCTTCCTTTACTTCCACAACTTGTTTCCTAAGCCCATTTCTTCAAGGAATTACGTTTTCTATCTCTATTTACCCAATAAACGTTCTCTTACAAAAATAAAAAGCGCAAGTCAGAATCGAGGAAATTTAAATTACGTCTAGTTATTGAATAATGTAGTGATCATTTTATGCAAATTAAAGCTTGGTGAATGCACAAGAAAATAGAATGTTGCTTGTTTGGGAAGTAAGCCAAATCATACTATGCCAAAACATTGATTCCCATGTTTATTTTCATCCAGACTCATGACTTGAAATAAGTTTGCGTTAACGACTCCCAATTTTAGACTTTTAATCCTCACTTCTGGAATTCTCTATATGATGTTAGAGTCGATCACTAGGTTTGGATATTATTATTATTACATATTTGGGGATGTCATTTTATAGAAGATTCCAAATTACAAGAAACTTGGACATCTGATAGTTAAGATTTTAGCCTGGAAAGCAGTGAAAACCAGAGACTTAGCTTCATATTTATATCCACATACACAATTCAAGATAGGAATATCCAAAATGTGCTGAGACTCCTGTCACTTTATTTAAACCCTGTATTGCCAGTTTTATTCATCATATTCCCTTGTTTACAAAACAGTGCCAATTTCCACTTGTTTGTGTGTTGTTTTTTTCCTACGTTCAAAAGCTCTGAGTGCCTACAAAAAGGTCATTTATGCCTGATTCTGGCCATTGCAAATATGCCCAAAAATCCTTGCCATCAAGGATTTAATTTCTTTGGAGCCTTTTGAAGTCTTAAATCTCCACGTTTAGAGGCATCAAATGAGATTCTATTTTTCAAAATCAGAAAAAATTCAAGCATGTTTTTGAACATTATTTTATAAACAAGAAGACCAAATTACACTAGCTAAAGAATACATTTTTGTTTTTTAAAAATATATGTGTTTTTATTGATTTCAAAGAGAAGGGAGAGGGAGAGATCGGCTGCCTTCTGCATGCTTCCTTATAGGGGATCAAGCCTGAAACAGGGCATGTGCCCTTGACCGGAATTGAACCCAGGACTCTTCAGTTCACAGGAGGATACTCTATCCATTGAGCCAAATCGATAAAGGCCATTTTCACTTTATTTATTTATTTATTTATTTATTTATTTATTTATTTATTTATTTAAAGTATTACAGATAGTAGTACATATGTCTCCCACCCCAAATTAACCTTACCCCAGCCTCCCCTACCCCTCAGCACATACCCTCACCCCCCTCCCAGTGTCTTGCATCCATTGGTTATGCTAATATGCATGCATATTTGTCCTTTGGTTTTTCTCTAGTGCCCCCCCCCCCTCCGCCCTCCTCAGCCTTCCCACCATCGTTTGAGTCTGTTCCGTGCTTCTCTGCTTCTGTATCTATTTTTGTTCATCAGTTTATAATGTTCTTTATTACCCATAAATGAGTGAGATCGTTTGGTATATTTCTTTCACTGACTGACTTATTTCACTTAGCATAATGCTCTCCATCCATGCTGTTACAAACTGTAAGAATTCCTTCTTTTTTATAGTAGTGTAGTATTCCATTGAGTAGATGTACCACAGTTTTCTAATCCACTCATCTGCTGATGGGCATTTAGGCTGTTTCCAAATCCTAGCTATTGTAAATAGTGCTACTATGAACATAGAGGTGTATATATCCTTTCCGATTGGTGTTTCTGTTTTCTTGGGATATATTACTAGAAGTGGTATTACTGAGTCAAATGGCAGTTTCATTTTTAATTTTTTGAGGAAACACCATACTGTTCTCCACAGTGGCTGCACCAGTCTGCATTCCCACCAGCAGTGAAGGAGGGTTCTTTTTCTCTGCATTCTCTCCAGCACTTGTCGTTTGTTGATTTGTTGATGATAGCCATTCTGACAGGTGTGAGATGGTACCTCATTGTTTTGATTTGCATCTCTCCGATGATTAGTGACTTTGAGCATGTTTTCATATGTCTCTTGGCTTTCTGAATATCCTCTTTTGAAAAGTATCTATTTAGGTCATTTGCCCATTTTTTTATTGGGTTGTTTATCTTCCTTTTGTTAAGTTGTATGAGTTTCCTGTAAATGTTGGAGAGTAAACCCTACTGGAGATAGGATTGGCAAATATGTTCTTCCAGGCAATGGTCTTTCTTGTTGTTTTGTTGATCGTTTCTTTTGGTTGTGCAGAAGATTTTATTTTTTTGTAGCCCATTTGTTTATTTTCTCCTTAGTTTTCATTGCCCAAGGAGCTGTATTGTTAAATATATTGCTACAACAAATGTCTGATTTTTGCTGCCTATGGCTTCTTCTAAGATTTTTACGGTCTCCCATCTTATGTTTAAGTGCTTTATCCATTTTGAGTTTATTTTTGTGTATGATGTAAGTTGGTGGTCTAGTTTCATTTTTTTTGCAAGTATCTTTCCAGTTTTCCCAACACCATTTATTGAAGAGACTATCTTGACTCCATTGTATGGTCTTGCCTCCTTTGTCAAATATTAATTGAGCATAATGGCTTGTGTCAATTTTTGGGTTCTCTGTTTTGTTCCACTGGTCTATATGTCTGTTCTTGTGCCAGTACCAGCTGTTTTGAGAACAGTGGCTTTGTAATACAGCTTGATATCTGGTATTGTGATTCTTCCAACATTGTTCTTTCTCAAGATTGCTTCAGCTATTCAGAGTCATTTTTATTCCAGATAGATTTTTGGAGAATTTGTTCTAGGTCTTTGAAGTATGCCATTGGTATTTTAATGGGGATTGCATTGAATTTATAGATTGCTTTGGGTAGTATGCACATTTTAATGATGTTGATTCTACCAATCCATGAACATGGTATATTTTTCCATTTGTTCTTGTTTTTCTCTAGCTCTTTTTCAGCGTTCTGAAATTTTCTGAGTACAGGTCCTTTATCTCCTTGGTTATGTTTATTCCTAGGTATCTTAATTTTTCTTATTACATTGGTAAGTGGGATTGCTTTTTTTAATTTCTCTTTCTGTGAGTTCATTATTGTTGTATAGAAAAGCTATAGACTTCTGGGTGTTAATTTTGTATCCTGCTACATTGCCGAATACATTTATTAAGTCTAGTAGTTTTTTGATGGAGTCTTTGGGGTTTTCTATGGAAAATATGTCATCTGCGAATAAAGACAGTTTTACTACTTCTTTTCCAATTTGGAAGCCTTTTATTTGTTCTTGTCTGATCACAATGGCTAGTACTTCCAGTACTTTGTCGAACAGGAGTGGTGAGAGTGGGCATCCCTGTCTTGTTCCTGTTCTTAGTGTAAATAGTTTTAGTTTTTGTTATATGGTATATCACATTTATTGATTTGTGGATATTGTACCATCCTTGCATCCCCGGAATAAATCCCACTTGGTCATGGTGTGTGAACTTTCTAATGTATTGCTGCATTCGATTTGCTAGAATTTTGTTAAGGATTTTGTTAAGGATTCATGAGGGATATTGGCCTATAATTCTCTTTCTTTGTATTGTCTTTATCTGGTTTTGGAATTAGGATAATACTAGCCTCATAAAAAGTTTGGAAGTGTTCCTTTCTCTTAGCTCTTTTGGAATAGTTTGAGGAAGATAAGTGTTACTTCTTTGAATATTTGGTTAAACTCCACTGTGGAGTCATCCTGGCTAGGGCTTTTACTTCCTGGGAGGTTTTTTTGTTTTAATTTATCTTTCTTGTTGAAAGTATTATAGATGTACCCTCTTTTGTCCCCTTTCCCCCTATTTACACCTTCCACTTCGCTTCTGTCCCCTTTTCTGGCCTTCCCTGCACTATTGTCTATGGGGTATGCATATACACAGATATGATCATTGGCTAATCTGGCCCCTACTCTCCCTACCCCCTGCTGAAATATGTCAGTCAATTGCATGCTTCCATGTCTCTTGATCTTTTTCATCTGTCAGTTTATTTTGTTCATTAGATTCCACATATGAGTGAGATCATGTGATACTTGTCTGTCTTTGGTTTATTTTGCTTAGCATAATACTCTCCAAGTCCTTCCATGCTGTCTTGAAGGATAAGAGATCCTTCTTTTTTCTTTTTTTTTTCTTTTTTTTTTTATAGCTACATAAGTATTCCATTGTGTAAGTGTATCCGTTTTCTAATCCATTCATCTACTTATGGTTACTTGGACTGTTTCCAAATCTTAGCTATTGTAAATAACACTGCTATGAACATATAGTGCATATATTCCTTCTGATTGGTATTTCTAGCTTCTTAGGGTATATTCCTAGAATTGAGATTACTGGGTTAAATGGCAGTTCCATTTTTAATTTTTGGAGGAAACTCCACACTGTTTTCCGTAGTGGTTGT